CCCACTGGCGGGACGTCCTCTCGAATGGGGTCGATTGAGGGGTTGGATCGAGTCGAATCAAGTCGTGTCGTCGTGGCGGGCGCTCGAAGTTCCTCAATTGACTTGACGTTGCTGCAGTCGAAGGGCAAACCAGGAATTGGTGGGCGCTGATTGGGCGGCCGCATCAACGTTGTCCCGGGCAAGCGAGCGCTTTTCCTTCCCGCGGCAATCCTCGACCCAGGCAAACGACCCGATTGAACATCAGCACCCTCAACGTCACGATAAAGTCCAATTGGATCCGCTCAATTGGCTTGCTCTGCGCAACTCCTCCTAATTCGATACCCCTCCGCTCGTCGTTCTTCCAGCCGCCATCATGAGCTACATCGCGCGCCGTGGTCTCTCGACCCTCATCCCCCCCAAGGTACGCCCGACCGCCAGACTCCGTCCCTCCCCGATCCCGGGATCACCCCGTGGTGCAGCTTTTGCTAACGGTGCCGAATTTTGCAGATTGCCTCCCCCAAGGTATGCTTCCGAACCCTCGATTGATGCGGCGGACGATGCGATGGACGAGGCGATGGATTCAACGGATGCGCCGCGGTGACGGCCGGGCGACTCGGAGCTAGGGAAGGGTTTGCTCGGCATCACCCGCGACGACAACAGCATGCGACGACAACCCCAGAACTCGACGATATGGAAAGGGAATAACCGACTGGAAGGAAAAGCTGGCTGACGAAGTGAATCACGCAGGCTCTCGGTGCCAACCCCAACGCCGTCAAGATGGCCAACGTTGTCAAGTTCTACGAGAGGCTCCCCCAGGGCCCTGCCCCCCAGGTCCAGGCCAAGGGCATCCTCGGCCGCTACCAGGCCAAGCACTTCGACGGCAAGAACGCGTCGGCGAAGCGTACGTGCCTATTGAGAGACCAGAAGAAACGACAGGTTGAGACCAGTGCTGACAGTTGTGTACAGCCATCATCCACGCCATTGCCGTCCTCCTCGTCCTCGGCTATGCCCAGAACTACTACTTCCACCTCCGTGAGTGCTACAGCGTATCCAGACAGAGACGAGACGGAGACTGACAGCGAGACAGGTCACCACAAGAACAACGCTCACTAAAGTGTGGGCTGGATGAGCTGCGGCTTGGTTCTTCTAGCAATGGCTGGCGGACGTGTACATAAGAATTAGACGTTGTTCAACTGGACCTGATCCCCTTTGTCAAGTTGAGCTGCCGGAATGTATCGATGTTGAAGATTGCGGCCCCTGCAGCTATGGCTGGCGTGTTCGAGGGGTGTACTGAGCTAGTGCTCACTCACTGTCAACACCGGTGATGTAAATATGTTTTTCGTGACGTGTAGGTCGAGTATTGGCTCGGGTTGGTTTAAGTTTTGCCCGCCTGGGCCGTGCAGCACATGGCTTGATGGAGGTGAGCACCAGATCAGTTTGAGAATGTGACAGAAGAATCGCCAGTGCTCGCTCCCAAAGCACATCACTTGCTGCTCGTAGATTTGTCAAACATGGACTGTTCTGCATGATACCACAACCAGCAAGTTTCATGGACAGGCGATTGAAGCGTATTTTGATTTTTCTTGCAAGGCAAACTTCCATGGCTGAATGAGATTTTCACTTGCGAGCTCCAGCAACAAGAATGTCTGGTGTAACATGAGGATATGGTGGTGGGTTGTATCAGGCGCCTACGAGCGGAGGGAGCAAGCCAGTCCCTTTCGAACAGGCGAAAACAGCTGATGCAGCTACAGTGCGATGACGGAAATGCACAGTACGACCAACAGCTGGGGGCTGC